ATGGATGTAAGAAGAAATGGAGGCCTAGGAGTTGAGGGGACAGTTTCAGGGTCACCTGGGGCAAGACCCACCTGGAGTCCAGTTCCAACCTCTCATCGGGGACGTGTCCTCATTTCCTTTCCACGCCCACAGGGCACACACCTTCGCCCCCTGTGGTGGACACTGTGCAGGGCCAGGTCCTGGGAGAGTATGTCAGCCTAGAAGGCTTTGCACAGCCTGTGGCCGTTTTCCTGGGAGTCCCCTTTGCCAAGCCGCCGCTCGGACCCCTGAGGTTTGCTCCTCCGCAGCCTGCAGAGCCATGGACCTTCGTGAAGAACACCAGCTCCTACCCTCCTATGTAAGTATTGGCATCTTTTAGTGGAACGTTTGCCTCAGAAGGATGCGGGAAAGCACCAAGGCACACCTCTGAGTGCCTTCTCCATTGTTCTGGAGCCTTCAGACATGGTAGATCCTTAAAAACATTCCAGCCCAGCCCAGCTGGCTCACTGGTTGAGCATCAACCCACGAACCAGGAAGTCACAGTTTGATTCTTAGTCAGGGCATATGCCTGGGTTGTGGGCTCGATCCCCAGTAAGGGGTGCGCAGGAGGCAGCTGATCAATGATTCTCTCTCATCCTTGATGTTTCTATCTCTCTCTCCCTCTGCCCTCCTCTCTGAAAACAATAAAAATATATTTATAAACAACAACAACAAATTCCAGAACTCCCATAGCATGCTAGAGCCTTTTATTCCACAAGTATTTATTGAGCACCTACTGTGTGCCAGGCATATTCTAGGTTCCTGGGCTCCATTAGTGAAGAAAACAGATATTCCTACCTTCATGGAGCCTGTGTTCCAGCTGGGAGAGATAGATGATAAACAATATGCAAATTAATACATACATCCTATGTAATAAAAGAGAAACATGCAAATTAACTGTCCCTCTGCTATGCTTAAGCCACACTTACAAGCCATGACCATAAGTCAATCAGGAATGAGTATGCAAATTAACCCAACTAAGATGGCAGCAGCCACTGAGCTGGAGTGAGCAGGAGGCTTGGGTTGCCCCCAGCAATGGAGGAAGCCAAGCTTCCCGCCTGCCCTGCTAGCCCTGGGTTCTGCTCTGGTCTACAAAGTTTCAATTATAGAAGATAAATAAATCCCAGAAAAAAAGGAGAGGCTGGGAACTTGGGTCGCCGGGGTGTGTGGCCAGCGGAAAATGGCCCTCAGCCACTCACCCAGGCTGGCCAGGCACCCCAGTAGCTATCCCCACCCTGAAGAGGGTGTGGCCAGCCTGCAAACAGTCCTCAGCCCCTCAACCAGGCTGGTCACACACCCATAGGGTGAGTGTCCCCGCTGGGGGGCTTGACCAGTCTGCAAACAGCCATCAACCCCTCACCCAAGCTGGCTGGGACCCAAGCGGGACCCCCCCCGACCCTGAAGGGGGTGTGGCCAGTTGGAAAATGGCCCTCTGCCCCTCACCCAGGCTGGCCAGGCCCCCAAGCGGGACCCTCACCCTGATCCCAGACACCCTTTAGGGCAAACCAGCTGGCCCCCACCTGTGCACCAGGCCTCTATCCTATGTAATAAAAGAGTAATATGCAAATTGACCCTAACAGCATAACGACTTGGAATGACTGGTCACTATGACACACACTGATCACCAGGGGCAGACACTCAATGCAGGAGCTGCCCCCTGGTGGTCAGTGCGCTCCCACAAGTGGAGCTCTGCTCAGCCACAAGCCAGGCTAACGGCTGCCAGTACAGCGGTGGTGATGGGAGCCTTTTCCACCTCCTCAGCAGCACTAAGTATGTATGACTGCAGCTTAGGCCTGCTTCCCGCTGGTGAGTGGACATCCTCCAAGGGTACCTGAGCTGCCAGAGGGATGTCTGACTGTCAGCTTAGGCCCACTCCCCAGGCCTAAGCCATCAGGTGGTCATCTCCCGAGGGTTCGCAGACAGTGAGATGGCACAGGCTGGGCTGAGGAACCCCTTCAAGTGCACAAACTTTTGTACACCAGGCCTCTAGTTATGTAATACGTTAGAATAGGATAAGTACGTTGGAAAAAACATTTTTTTAATTAAGCAGGTGATGGGGATCAGAGGTACTGACTCTATTTATTCTCCTGACTTGAACTTTGCTCTATTTGGAGAGTGGGGTGAGCCAGGAGGTTGTGTGGGTGGGAGTGCTTTGGGGTGTGGACCTGGCAAATTCTCAGTTCCCAGGTGTGTCTAGTTACCTGGCCACAAGGAGTAATGGATGCCCGACTCACTGGGAGGACTCGCCAATTGTCATCTGTGCCGGCTGCTCACAGTCTGTTATTAGGGCAAGCAACAGCGATTGCCTGGGACGGATGGGTTGGTGATAGACTCTTAGCATGTCAGGGCTGCAAGATTCTTCCAGAAACCACTCCACTCACTCAGACCTGGCAGGTGGGGGCCCAGAGCAGGGAAGGGATTCACTCAGGGTCACCTCGGAAACCAGGGGCTGCAGCAGTTCTCCTAATGTTACCCTGCAAATATTTCACCCCTGACCTGTCATGGGTCCCACACATATGCTGCCATTTGAGTGAATGGGAGTCTCCTGTGAACTCGACCACCTAGGTTACCTGGTGGAGATGCAACGGCCCCACTGCACCCTCCATGGGAGCCCTGCACAGAGCCAGGCTGCGTCCAGGGTGTGCAGGATGACCATCGCCCAGGTGGGCAGTAGCTAGGCAGCCTCCTGTCCTTAACCTGGTGCATCCGAAATTGCCAGGAAGAGAAGAGGAGCCAGGCCTTCTCGCTATACATGATGCTGGGAGGCTTTAGTGAGCCCCAGGGCCCCCGCTTATGGCTTCCTACCCACTCAACGTCTTCTCTCTGGTACGAGCAGCCGTGCACAGGCACAGAGCTCCCAGGCCACGGCTCTGTGCGCAGCTCTGGCTGAACCTGAGTATATCTCTCTCCCCACCTCCCCAAGGTGCTCCCAAGATGCCGTGTCAGCCCAGGTGCTCTCAGAGCTCTTTACCAACAGAAAGGAGAACATTCCTCTCACGTTCTCTGAAGACTGCCTTTACCTAAACATCTACACTCCCGCTGACTTGAAGAGGAAGAGCAGGCTGCCGGTAAGTTGTGCGTTCCATATAGGAGCGACCTCCTGGTGTGGACTGGGGAGGAGGAAGGCAGCGTGGGGGGGAGTGTCCCAGCCACGGCTATTTCAGGGGCCCCACGCTTCCTTTGCTCTCCCTGGCCAGGCCACGTGACCCCAGGAAACACACGTTTTCTATCCCTCAGTTTCCCCCGGCGATAGTCGTGGTGCCTCCCGGGACCTCGCTGTACATCTGTAACCTATCGTCAGTTCTTTCCATGTTCGCTCATGCGAACAGAGGGACAAGCGTGACTACTGATACTTGCAAGTTTAGGCATCTGATTGCCAGAGAAGCTAAGGCATGCTTTCCAGTCAAGTTAGAGCTTGAAGGAACCTCACCAAGAAGGCAACACCCCAACCCTCCTTTTAC